GTTCTCTGGGTGCTCTGGGTGACGGTCGATCCGTGCAAATTGAATGCTGACAGGAGGAGAGTTCAGCTTCACGCGATCTACATTAATATAAATCTGAGCGCACCGTGATACAGAGTGTCCAAAGAACCTAAAAGTTTGGTAGACACCGATTTATACAGAATGTCTCCATAATCAATGACTGGCATAAATGTGGCAGAAACCAATCTTCTTCTTGCCTCGGATGAAAAGCAGGGTTTATTTCTGTAATAGAACCCAAGCTTTACCTTTAGTTTTGTCCTTAATTGATTTTTAAAAGATATAAAAGATAAGGAGACATCAAGCATAAAACCGAGATATTTATATTCTGTCACTACATCAACCTGTAAGGTCTGTAAGGTTTTGAGTGATAGTTGATTTGCCACTTGTTTCTTTGATCTCGAAAATAACAAAGCTTTAGTTTTAGTCACATTCAAAGTCAGTTTTAGGCCACAAAGCCTTTGCTGCACAACATCAAAAGCATTCTGGAGTAAGGACACAACTTGGTGTAATTTAGGTGCGCTACAATAAATCACAGTGTCATCAGCATAAAAATGAAAATTAACATGACCAATATTAAAATCAAGATTATTAATATAAATAATAAAAAGCAAAAGCCCCAAAACAGATCCCTGAGGAACACCCCTCATAATCTGCAATGGTGCAGATGAATGGCCTTCCATTTGCACACATTGTGTTCTACCCACTAAGTAGCTTTCGAACCAAGAGGTTGTCTCATTTGACATTCCAATTTGTTTCAATCTAGTTTTTAATAAACTGAAATCAACGGAATCGAAAGCCTACAATACAATAAATAAAAAATGACAGTAAAGTTTTTACTACAAGTTACAAAAGATTTCAATTTCAAATAAATGCTCTTCTTTGTAACGTTCTATTAATATAAGAATCCTGAATAAAATGTATCTTGCTTTCCACAAAAATATTAAGCGGCACAACTTAAGGAGTATTCAACTGTGACAATAACAGGGAATGTTTCCTGAAGACGGAAATAATGGCTGCTGAAAATTCAGCTTTGCCATCACAGGAATAAATAATTAAAAAATATAATATTACTATTAAAATGTATTTCAAAGTACAATTTTGACTGTATTACTGATTAAATGAATGTAGCCCTGGTGAGCATGAGACACATCTTTCAAAAACATGAACAAATTGTATCAACCCCAAACTTTTGAACCATAGTGTCCACAAATGTATATCTGTAAAACTTATTCTCACACACAGATATCGAATGAATGATACAAAACTTTTTTTTTTAAACCCCCTGCTCATAATGCACTTACATTAGAAAAGAACAGCATCAACACTGCTAAATTTCTCATTTTTGGGAACAGGTTTGCAACAAAATAAGGTAATAATGACAATTTGGTGTGAACTATCACTTTAAAATGCTGTTAGCTCTGATTTTCAGTATATAAACGGGAAGATCTGTCACTGTAAGCCTGAAGAATTTGAGATTGAGGAGTTCGTACAAATCTCTGGGGTCCCAATAATTCTGCATGGTGCCACTGCACAGTATGGCTGTGGCATATGAGAGACAGTTTGTTAGGGTGAGTGTCTGTGTGTGTGTTTGGACTCTAGGCCCCATTGTGTTTATGTCGATCGATGAAACCCATGCTTGGCAGTGCCACTGGCATGTTAAGAAATCCAATGGGGTTAACAGGGCTTTATTCTCCCAAGGAACAAATGCCACACATTACGAACAAGCTGAAGAACCTTAGGAGAATTTGAACTCTGCCAGGTTTGCTAAGACTGATTAAAGCAAAGCTTTTCGGTGGATGAGATGTGCTGAATCAGGAAGTTCACTTTTAGTTGTTTGTAAGATGGTACAATGTGGTACATGTGCTCCCCAAAGAATGGACTTGAAAGAGGGAACGCATTTTCAAAGCACTTTCCCTGATGAAAAAAAAAGAAACTGTGCTAATCAAAGCTATATATATATATAGCCACTAACAACTCATGAAGGACATAGTGTTTTACAGAACGTATTTTATTGTAAAGCTATAAGGAAGGAGTACTTACAAGATAGTATTTCTTTGATTTGCTCAGCAAAAATAAAAGACAACATTTTTTTTTCTCGTGTTTAACATGCGGATATTGATAAGAACATAATGGAACGAATAAGGGCTAAACTCTTCAAAGCCACTGTTTTGCAAATAAGACACAAAAAAAGAAAAGTCATAAAAAGAAACAGTAAAACTTTAAAATAGACTAGAAGCCAGTGAATGGTTACTGATGACATTTTAGACAGGCACACCAACTGTGTGCCCCCAACCACTCACATCCTAACATATTCTACTTTAAAAAATATTTTACAATTTCAATTTGTCTTTCAACATGTTTTTTTTTTTGTTCTCTTTTTTTTTTTTTT